TTCAAGGGGCAATCGATCCCTAGCTTTAGCTTATCTGATACCTTCGTTGCGCGCTGAATCCTCTCATGGTTTTGAAATAGATTTGTAGCAAACAGAGATCCCAGTTCAGAAAAAAGAGTTGGTTCTCTCCTACCTATCCTAGGCCCCACCTACGTCCTATTTACCTTTGCGATGCTCATGGCTTTCCTGGGCCCCTTTTTTCCCATTACCAGTAATAGAATGAGACAGCCGGACATCCTCATTTCGACTTCCGACTCCGTCTTGAGAACCCTCTTAGGCGTGGGAGACCTCGGCTTTCGCCTACTTTTTTGCGGTCTACAGTTCTATGGAATTAAGTATTGTCCTGCCTGCAAACACTCACCCCTCGATGCACTTTCGTTCACCATTTGCTATTTGACCATTAGTCCTCTCTTCTCGCCGCCCCATATACGCCCATTTAATCGTCTTTGAGTTGTTTCGGAACCGAATCACAAGTCTTGTGGAAGACTCCTCCTACATCAGTCCCGCCCATTGAAGATATTTGACATTTTCTTTGCCACCAGCTCTGTAAACGTTTTTCGCGGTCTCTGTCCGAAGTCTAACTGAAAGGTTCCATGGGGAGCTCTGCCCTTTTCTGGGCACTTTTCGTCCGCCGGTAGTCTTGTGGATTACGCCAGCTTCACCAATCTCATGTCCACACATTTTTTCTCGGTTTCTGGGCTATTATGGAACCGAATTACAAAATTTTTTCTCGACACCGATCATTTTGATCCCGTAATGTACAAAAACCCAGCAAGTGTGCCAGGCTCAACTTTGTGTTTGATGCATTTTGACCCACGCCTCACTCGTCCCAAATTGACGCGGTGCTTCTAGGTGGTTTTCAGTTGATACCGATTTTAGAGACAGACAGCCGACAGACAGGCAAGGCGACAAACAGACAGTCAAACCGTTCTATAGTTAGTAGGACCATTTGTTATCGTTATGTTCTTCCGATGTTATCGTGATGTAGTTTTTACTGGGTAGGTTAGTGGCCTACACACGTGAAGATGTGCTGACTTGACGGATAAGAGCATGAGGAGCTCAGCATCAACACAGACTAAATGTTCATTTAAAGAGTGCTTTGTTCTTTATTTTGGAATGATCATCATTGAAAATGGGGCGCTTCCTGAGTGCCTCTCTAAAGCCAGAAAAGGGGCGGAAAATTCGTGGAGGGTTCGATTCCCCATGGTGACAAGGTTTTGCATTTCCGATTAGCGCATGCACGATGTCGCAAAATGTACTCGCAATCATAATGGAACCTAACAGCGTGAAGCCATCAGTTACCGCATCTGGGCCAGGTATAACGAAACTGAGTTGGCAAAAAAGGCCTAAACATGTGATCTCTTCCGAATCCCTTTTGCTGCAGAGATCAACCAATGAAGTTGGACCTGTGATGCTTTGACCCAATTGCTGTGTTGATGTTTGGCCTGTTCCTTTGGCTGTCTTGTTAGTCACTTCACTTTGCGGACGGACAAGCAGATTGGCATACATACGGGGAGAAGGGGGGGGGGGCGGCTATCAAAATGGAGTCATTTCCTCTACATTCGAAACCGAATTAATCACACGCTGGACGTGAACTAAACCAAATGAGCTCAAGTGATTATAAAGAGAACAGTCTAATCTATCAAAAAAATTACATGACATCCTTACAACAGAATGTTTTCCCACGGAAACATGGTTCACGGTACGAGCTCAACTAGGTCGTCGAGGTACCATACACCATTAACGAATTCCCGGAAACGCTGGTTAAAAGCGGTTGAGGTCGTCGACGGTGACTGCAGACGTCATATCCTGAAGACGGAGTGGGGAGGAGGCACGTAATAACTTCGTATGCTTTTGGGGACACCTAAGGAATATTCTGCTGTGAAAGCACATCAGAAACGGCGCACTCTGTGCGACGAAAAATTTGATAATGTGCGAATGTAAAATGTAAAATTGTAAAACTAAAAAATGAAAAAAAAATGTAAAATTCATATTAGTGTAAAGCATTTTTCCCGAGGATTTCAACGGTATACTTTTTGTACTGTTTTCTTTCCATGAAAAAATGTGAATTTCGCTCTGATTCAAGGACCTCGAAATTGACAGCCGGTGCTAGGTAGGAACTTCAAAAACTTCTCGTCAATGGGGTGAGCTCTGTAGAAAAGGAAGTTAAGTGACAAGGCTCAGATCCTATTAGTTTTCGCTATACTTTGGCTCAAAGGAGCTTTTCCATGCAAAAATGACATTCAACAAAGCTGACCCACCTGGGATGAATTCGGTATCAAAATGACGAGCACCATCTGAAGAACACAACAGTCTCTTTTTCACATAGGAGTAATATAATAACTTTATTACTCGCTAAATACTACTATTAATATCTGTTCCCCTCTGGTTATAATTATAGCGAGCGACGCTCGCTAATGAGTCAGCCTCAGGTAATTTGATAAATTTCATGAAAATGAAGCGAAAATTCAGAGGAACTCAATAGTCCTCTAAACCGTTGGATTCTTCGTGAGCAGAGCAGTAGTCGAATGACATAATCCATTTATTCACGAGTTATGGCGAGGCGACGGTTGCGACGGACTCACTGCGTCGCATTTCGTCGATTGAACGGCAAAATTTATTAAAAAAATAATAAAAGCGGCACTTGTACATAACGGTCCACTCAGGTTAGCTGGTCGTATAACATAAGATCAGAAATGATAAAATACTGCTATCTTGTGAGTTTCCTTTTTGTGATACATATTGACGACCAGATCCTCTTGTAGCGTCGAAATTGGGTTATTTATTGGTGGGCTTTCAGCAACAACGCCACCTTCACACCAATCTCAACTTACATTGCTCATAAAAAAAAGAGAGCAGCGTTTAAAATGCGAAGAACACGATAACATCACTATGGCACAAAGCTCGAAGTCTTTCGACGAAGCACTCCTTCGAACGTACTCTCCTATGATTGATTTTCTGCAGCAGACCGAGTTACCTAAACTACTTTTTGGATTCTTGATCAAAGCTACATTCGGGAGACAGGGTCAACAATATTTGATTAACTGCTATTGCATGCGTTCAGCTTTCCTTTGTTGAGCAGACTTTTCCTTGCTGTTTTTTAATTTTTGTTCAAGCAACATTTTTAGACTCCAACTGAACTCTTCGTGGAACCTCTGCATTTAGGTTACTATAACGTAATTCTTCTGCCAACGAGTCGTTAGGTGGAATCTTTTTCGATGGCTTGAAGTAAAACTGCAGACATAGTCTAAATTACTAATCATAAGCTAAGTCGGGGTGGCGCTGTCCTACTCTTGCGGTGGTGAACTGGGTGAGTTTATTTCTCTCCTCGTTCGGGATTTTGCTTGTTCTCCCTAACGTTCCGTTCAGAAACGCTAGGAGAGGAGGCGTTTGGCGGTTTAAGGACATATCTCAAACCTTGAGCCATGTTCAGGCCTTTGAAGGAAGGCGATCTCGTCGAAACGTCAGGTCCATTAATAAAGTTTCCATCTAAGAACCTCGTTGGCAGAAGAATTACATTATAACACTTTAGAAGTAATTTACACTTCTTCTATTGGATGCATGTACGAAGTTTGACAAACGAAGCCACTGTTCGGGAAATCAAGAGTCCAAATTGTGACAAATTGCTGTAGGGCAGTTGTCTTCTTGACCTTCGAAGGGTGCTTCGGGTCTTCATACATTGCTTATATACAACTTGCGACAATTACATCCTTGAGTATGCAAGCTCATCCTTACACATATTATACGAGCGGCTGCATTTGCGCTAGACTAAATGTATTTTTGATGTCTCCCCTTCGTAGAGAGCGAGCCAGACCCTCCTCCGTCAACTGCTTGAAAACACAACATGGGATGGAGTTCAGGTGGATGAATCCTTGGGGGATAGATCCACTCACGATGGCCACAGATGTTCTCCATACTCTAAAATGTGCAATAAGGGAGCTAAAGGTTTGCTATGACCGCTTCGACCGCCTCAGCGATTATCTCTTCCTTTCACCATGCTTTTGCTCTTACACCCCTATCATCTGTTGCCCTCTCTCGCCATATCCTCGCGTTGTAACTCAATCTTTACACCATAGTACAGCTGAACTGTATGAGTAACTAACTTCTCAATTTTAGTCTCGACAACACAACTCGGATTCCTTCTCTTTTTGATCCTGGCCGCCCCGCTTCGCATCAAATGCTTCTTTTTCGTGTGCGAAGAGCCACCTGTTCAGGTTGATTCTAGATCTATTAAAGGAATCTTGCGCGGAAAAATCATGATTCTATTTCAGCCATAAATCACTGGCTTGAGACTCATTATCCACGATAATAGTGAAAAGAACTGAAGTATTGCTTTCGTTTTGATTAGAAATTCGAAAACTCGAAAAGGCTGCTACGCGTTCGAATTGCCCACGGACGTCTTTCACGAATGCTGGCGACGGGGATGCTCAAACTTGGTTCTTGGAGTGCATTCACTAGAAGCTCTTTCTGGCCTTCTGCTTCGTTGCATTCACATCTTACACTTCTACTCCATCCTATTCCATCGATCGATTTGTCTCCACTCTCCGAAATCGCGCGCTTTAACCCGATTCTCTCATTGCGTCGCCTGGTACGTAGCCGGCCAAACGCCGTCTTCTTTCCATGCCTCGCCTGGCTCTGCCTCCTGGTCCTTCGATGGTCCATAACGTGTAGTTTTTGTACGTTTGTTTCTCTTCAGAAACCGAATCTTCATGCGTGAAACTTTGTGTGCTATTTCCAGTGATCACAACTGACATATTCATGTTAGGAAAGAGTGCAAGAATTTTCCGCGCAAGATTCCTTTAAGTAATTAGTTGCGTTAGTTGATGGTGCTTTTGCTTTTCAAATATACCAATTTGCATTTATTGGTGAGACGAGGTGTCATTCGAAGAACAAGCAACAACCTAATAGAATGTTTGTCTAGGTATACACTCTTCTTCCGTGTTTGCGTCTCTATTTACCATGGTACCTTTTTCGTAACGACGGTCGATACGAGTTTTCGCATGTCTTTTTTCAGCTTCTTGGTGTCTCCAACCATAATCTTTCAGGGTTCAATGGCATCACTTCGCACGTTTTTGCTACTCTGTCTGGTGATGCTTACCGCTGTTCGAGCAGGCACATGGCTGTCTTTCAGTGAGTTTTCTTTCAATTTAATCGCACTATTGATAAATTTGCCTTTAAGGGGGTCCTGACCAGTTTTTTTCCCTTATCTTAAAAAAAAGATCAACTTGTAGGGTTTGATTCTGGTAAAATTAGGATTTGCTATTGTAATGTTCTCCCTGGTCATGCGGTTGATTCGCCGCGCACAACACTTAGAACTGAACCCGTAGACAGAGCTGTGCATCTCGTGAACCAACATGCAGCTCGGGCGCAAATGCTGCAAACAGCAGGAAGGCGTCCAATCTCATAATAAATGTGAAATCAAAGTACACGTCCTTATCCTTCCAACCAATTCAGTGATCCTCTGAAATCAGCCAATTCGCTATTCAATAATGAACATAGTCAACATGTGTGCAAATCCACCTCAACCAGTTCTTACCGCACGACTTTAATCGTTTGCGGGTGGCGTACATCGTGATCCGCAGGCAGGTGCCTTTAAGTCCGTCTCGGACACTTCGAAGTGATGCACTCCATATTTCTCAACGCATCCAGGTCGATGGCAGCCCATATGGTCGCTAATTATTAATTGTAATGCCATTTGTCAAAATCATAACTTTGTTAGAAATTTTCGATAGCAGTGAATTATTTATTCCATAACATATAATCCTAAGTGACGTTGGACGAAATGCTGTTATTTCACTCGGCTCTGAAGCAGTAAATGGTAAAACTGTATTTGTACCTTTGAAAACACGTGTCCTGCAACTGTATTTCTACCTTTGAAAACACGTGTCCTGCCACTTGACGGGTCATTTTGAGAAGTCGGCTTAACATGGTAAAGGCCTGAAGTCAACACTTCAGTGTCACTCTGTTCCTCGTCATGTTTTTCTTCCTGTTTCTCTTTGGTGTTTTCATGGTCTTACCACGCCCTCCGGATCCTTTCAATTACTTTGATCTTCTGTTCTCGTTCATAACTCGTTCTGAGCATGCTATCGCTGCTCAACTCTGTTCACCCCTAATATTGTTTCTAATACACAGCAGGAGGGGAGAGGCAGGAAAAGACGTTTTTCCCCACGTTGGAATTGAACGAATCAGACCTTAACTCAAGCAGTGTAGCTCCGAACGAAAACTGATTACCACATTCGAATCTACATGTTGCGAGTCGGTGGGTCCAGGACAGGGCTTGAGTGCCACTTTTGAGGAAACCCCGGATGAATTACGAGGGACAATAGTGCAACAGTCAACCATTAGTAGCCCCGCGCCGACTACTAACTTAAATATGAACTAACTACCCTAACGGCCAGCTAACTGACCTTGGCAACCACGAACCAGACTTTAAGAGCACCCAACTATTAAGTGAATAACATGTGGGTTTTAAACCCTATTGCTACAGGGCTAACGCCCTGCGAGTCTGCAGAACCGACGAAACAGGGGCAGAACCGTGATGACAGACGGGGAACACCGGGACAGGCCGTGATGGTGCCGTTGCGAACGGCCCGTGCGTTTCCGCACGATCACGGGTAGATCGTAGTGGGTCATGTCTGCAGTACTTCGCAGGCGCCGGCGCGCCCAGGGTTCCGTTGGAGCGGTCTTTGCGGTACGCGACACTGCTGATCAATTTCGTAATAGGCTTCTACACGGTTGACATCAAAAGCTGGCCGGCGTGGAACTTGCATATTATGCGCTAGCCTCTTTAATGTCACCAATAAAGCGATGAAAGATGCTGGGTAGTTGGAGGTTCAAGCTGAAGTGGTTACTCTGGGTCACCTTCAGCTCGACGAACTCTTGAAGGAAATTCTCAGAAATATTTCGCCGTAGAATTCCATCAGCGGGGGTATCTATGTAGTGCGATAAGAAGTTGGCTGATGTGCACCATAAGCGAAAGGTATTTTTTGCCCCCTCCTCCTTGAATCGTTTATGAATCTTGCGGCCACCTAGGACAATCATGACGCAAGAGAATTACTCAGGTTTTTGCACACAACTCTATTATCATAGTAGTGGTGTTGACGCAGTTACAAGCAATACTATCAAATAAACACTGCCTCTGCACCTTGCTAGCAGTGTCAAGCGAGGCGTCGAGGAAAACGCTAAGATACGACCCAGCTGCCGAAAGTGACCAAGTTGAGGATTTCTGCGAAAGTACAAAGAAAATATTTTATCATGCGTTACTTTTAACACTTCAAAAGCCAGAACTCTAAGGCAGATTTACGATGAAAGATCAACCAATTTCAAGTTAAAGTCAAGGATGGTGAGTGGTACAAAAAAGGAACCATGAGAAAGGGCCTAGAACCCGAGAAAAATGGGACCACTTGCTTGCCCTTTGGTTTCCGCACTGATGCGATTTCATCGCTGTGTGTCCTCTTCGAAGCCCACGCTCTCTCTCTGCTTTCTTATCCTCGCCACGTATAGGCCTGTGACGAGTGATCATGGTAGTCTTCGGTGGGCGTACCCCGCCAACCACGCCAAGAGTGAACCATGCTAGATCGCCGAGGTCAAATCTTTCACTGCCAATTACGCGTCGGTCAGCACCCTTAGGAGGTTCGTCTGCTCCCAACTGATTGCAAAGTTTGTCCTATCTTCCAACATTGCTTACTATATATACAGGGGTGGCCAAAAAAAAGAGACACTCAGCCCATGGCGCACATCATCGAACTTTTCGTCGCACAGGGAGCCGATGTTAATGAAAGTTTTATGGCGTTATATTCCTTAGTTGTTCCTCCGTAAACAGAAGCAAGCACTCCTTCACTGCCCCTGCCGTCTCCAGAATATGACGTCATCTGCCGTCACCGTCGAGCTCAACGAGGCTTACCGAAATCGCTCCGACCTGAAGCTGCTACACAATTTCCTCAGTGAATTAATTGTTGAATAGCTTTCCCAGAGACATTAGCTGTGAATGTGCAAAACCGCTTTTGACCTGCGTTTCAGAGACGTCGTAATCGTCTATGGTATCTCGACGACCTCGTTGAGCTCGTACCGTGCACAATGCTTCCGTGGGAAAATCTTCTGATGTCGTCGGTGTAGAAGGCTGTTGTGTAGCTTGTTGATAGATTATAACGTGCTCTTCAATATTCAGTTGGGGTCATTTGGTTTGGTTTCGCGACGCGTAAATAATTCCGTTTTGAATGTTGAGTGAAGTGTCTCTTTTTTTTGGCCACCCCTGTATATATTATATATTTATTTATTTATTTATATACGAGGTAGAGCTCATGTGATATAATTGAAACAGTAGTGATACCAACTGACCAATGAAAAAAAAAAACAAAAAAAAATTCTGAGTTGAAAAAGAACTGGAACTTCCAATTATGAAATAAGTGAGAAATAGAAGATACATGATGTGTAGAGGGCATAAAAATGGGCATAAAAATGGCATGAAAAAACATTTTTTTCAAAATAAAATACTCTACGGAACCAAGTGACGTCGAGTGTGTTTTTGAAAGCTTGTACACTTAGTGGAAAGGCTGTAGATCTAGCAAGTTTGAAATAGTCCGTGCCAGCTCTTATTGTAAAGAAGTGAAACCTCAAATTATGGCTTATCGTTAGCTCGCGAATTTCTTCGAATTTCAAATTTCTTATCGTGGAATCCTACTTGGAACGCTTCAATTCAGGAAATTCAATATGGTGTTGTAAGCTGAAAGATCTGGCTCTCTTGAATTACGTGACATATAAATTATCCAAGAAATAGCCATGTGAGGATTTTCGTCAGAATACCGCAAAGAAGATTCTCCTTCATTGCGTTGTCACTCCTTCAGCGACCACAGCCTCCGTTATGGACAAACTTGTGCAACAATGGAAGGGGTTTAGAACTTCACAAGCTTCCGGCTTGCTATTTAATAAGTGTAGAAGTGTACTGCAAAGTTTCAACTGACTCAAATTGTTATATGTTTATAAAGTTAACGCTAAAGATTGCATTTCTCTCGAACAGCGGATCCCTTCTTGTGATTTGGGACAGTCCCTTCTGGAGCCCGATGTCTCTCAAACAGATATCTCAATGCAAGGAACGGGAACTGAAGCGCAGACATTTGTCGAACTCGCTCAGGGACGCGCCATGCACTCGACATCCAGCGCGAGATCGGTTTCCATCCACTCTGAGCAGATCCGCTGCTCTGATCATTGCTGATTCCTGCTCTTACGACCCCTCCCTCCCACTTGGTCTTACACGATCCCGCCCCTCGTAGGAGATTCCTCGACGCACGCTCGACCTTGCTTGCCACTGACCTTAGGTTCGCAACTCTTGCAAACAGATATTCGGCTCCGACAAATTACTTTTGTATCATCTCTCGAAAGCGAAGGACTGAACCGGAAAATTGGGCGACATTAACCATAGAAGGACAAAATTTACGCTTACTGCAGTGGATGGTTTAGCACCAACGCTAGCTCAAATACATATTAATTAGAATCAGTGTTACAGTGACCCTCTTCTCCCAAATGCTGACTTATTCCAGATGATTACAAAGAATATCCAATGGATTATCCGATTCGTACTAACATTGGAGATCTTGTCGACGTGTGCAATGAGCAAGTATGTTTTAAAATTTTCATACCATTTCACTGTTGCAACTTGTTGTAACTCTTCCGAATGATAGGGAACTGCTACGCTCCAGCATTATCCCGCCATTGAACAAATAAATAAATAAATAAATAATCATAATGATAATATCCATCAGAAGGGATAATATCATTATTGCCCTTTCTACATTATACTATTTTCCGTCAGCACTAGGTCATTCTCTTCCTTGTCATAATTTTCACCTTGTCCACATTATCATGTAAGGCCAAGATGACTTCAAATGGAGGGTTTCTGAACTCGTAGCCAAAAAGATGCTGTGTACGAGTTCTGCAGCATCTCGTTCCTTATGTGTTATGTCCGTCGCGGTATCAAAAACTCGTCTGCATTGATTGCCTTGTGGGTGCTTTCTTGTCAAGCAGCGTACCGAACTAGTGTTCTCAAAGGGGATGATCGATTAGGGACTTCTTTTCACACCTTTTAGATTTGCTGATAGGGCGCTTTCCTGTCGCAAAACTCACCATATATCGCCTCTTTGAATCCTCCTTAACCCTCTCCTCTACCCATCTTTTTTCAATTTATCGCGAGCTTTTTCTTGTGGTGCGGCCCTTCATGCCTCAAGTATAGGTCTCGGTGTACAATCAGGCCAGCGGCTGCGATTCGAGGCACCCGTTTATGCAGGATGGTCACGTATAGCAAGAGATGCAGTTGATGGAGAAGAAATGATTGTGGCGACATTTTTGAGCCTCCGATAGCCTCGGTCCTGCCCAATTACGCAAGGTTGTGAAACGATGCACCAAACCCTGCGAGAACATAAGGAGTGTGACTAAACGAAAAACTCAGCTTGGAAATCCGCTAGGAAGAGACTTGAACGCTTCAAAGTGGGTGTCACCGACAAGTTCTGGTAACCCCCACTTGCCAGCCGAGAGATCTTGGATGCGCTTGGATGCAAGTCCTTGCGCGACTGTGTGAGCTGTACCGCGTTTCGAAATTGCTGATGCCTCTTTTTGATTGGTTTTACTTGCTTAACTCACTTAATTATTGTACTTCTTTGTTTGTACTGATGAATATGTCTTGATTTATTGGCGCATATGCGACCATATGGCACAAGCCAGCAATAAATGCAGGCAGAGTAAGCTAGCGATCGGACTGTCCGTCTCTGACACGCCCCCTTCTTTTTTTAAGAGGGAAGAGAGGGAGTATCTGTTTAAGTGCATCATCGGTGGTTTTGTTCGCTTTTTTCCATTAGCAATAAACTCGCTATCTAAAACTTCAGTATCGACCGTTTCTACCCCACGAATTCGATCTGGAATTGTTGCATTCAATTACGCGAATTGGTGGGGTGCTGAAGGATGTGGGGCCGTACTGTTGCTCTGCTTCCGTACACTTTCATTCTCCAGCTTAAACGCGAGTACAAACCGTGTGCCCACACACTTAGGGACGAAGCTCTTAGCTCTTCCAACGACCTGTAGCTGGCACGTAACATGACCATAGGGGACCTAACCACACATACACAATGAGCTGCTACAGGGCACTAAAGAAAGCAGTTAACAGGAACCGTTAAACGGTCCACAAAGCTAATCAAAGGTTATGATACTTCATCTGTCTCGTCCTTAAGTTTTGCACACCAGTGTATTTTGCGAAATGAAATTGTAGTACCCGAATGGCAACAATTTCTTCTCTTTCTTGCGCAAATCTCTCACTTCACGTAAAATTCGACGGAAAAATCGGCCACGCAGAATCTTCTTGTGATTGGAAGGAGAATTTTTCTGCTAACCTTGCATTGTGTGGCTGCACATGGGAAAAGGAAATGTGAGGTCTGCTCTTCCGCAGAGGCCATGGGAGACAGAACAAGTAAAAGAGAAAATGTTTCGCGTAAGATCGGTTCACAATTTTCTCGCTTCATTTCGTACAAGCTATAGAATCAATGCAACGACACACAATTTGGGACACCGACACGGCCAGAGTTTGCCACTTTTGCTGCTCTCATTCTTACAGTTAGCAACTATCTTTATCACCACGGATGACATGGAGTACTCAAGAAAAGCGTGTCTATAGTCGCGCGACGGGGCTCTCCTTCATGTACCCGATGCTATGCACTACAAATGTTGTACAACACATGACAGTGTTAAGGCCTGCAACATTTGAAGTCGTCACCTCTTGTTAGGCCTAGGCTAACGCAAAGCTACATAGCAAAAAAAACAAACAGCCCTTTACGATCTCTATCTACAGAATGCAGGGCGGAAGTGGTGTAGTGACAAGTGGCGCGCTTACCACGCGAGCGGTGGGGATCAAATCCTGGGTCGTGAGTCGCCCGGGCCAACCAAGCCTTCCATCCCTCCGGGGTCGGTTAATTGGTACCAGACTTGTGGGAGGATAAAAAACACTGACTTGTACATCGGCTGGCCCCCGCAAGTCATTGTATAGGCCACATCGCATTCAAACGCCACTACGAATGTACAAATGGAAGTAGAATGCGTGCCGCATCCCAAAAAGGGATTGATCAACGGCAAATGCTTTATCCTTTTTTATATTAATGCCATAAAGAGACCGAGTAAAAACAATTGTTGGCTATGGAAAAGATGACCATGGACCAAGAGGTTAAGTTATAAGGCTCGGCCAACATGGGCTTCACTCTTCATGGGGCGTTGGCCGCGGATAGGCATCTGAGTATAGTGCTTCAGTTGTGCGGGCCACTTGCTTTGCGGCTGTATTCGCATGGCTGCATAAATGTCTTAAAGGCAAGATTCAGGATTGAATTATGAGTTAATTCCACTTAAATGTGAAAGTAGGGGTAGGTAGTGGACCGCCAGTGCAGAAAAGAGAAAAAGAAATCGTGAAATGCTTAGGAAATACGAGCCATTTCCTCTACGGTGCGGAGAAGTTCAAAAGGCCGGCAGGGAGATGAGAGATAATGTGAGCGCGGAGAGCGCTAGAGAAGTCTAAGTAGAGAGAGCATAGCAGATCAACATTCCGACGCAGTCAAGATATCGAGCGGTGGGCGGAGCGTGTCGCAGCAGGTGGAGCGTGTCAAAGTTCTTAGCGCCTAGCGTCTAAATAACGGTTTTCGAAGTAGGGAAGTGACGCGACCCTACACTTGCGTACCTAGCGCTTCTAGCCACCGTAAAGGCTCATTAAGTGGGTCTGAGCCCGAACTTTGCCCTCTAAAAAAGATCGCATACGCATACAGCGGAGCACTACGGCTGACCCGGCTGCGCTCGTCCCAAAGGGAGAGAAGTGAAGAAGGCGAACCAGAAAGTACTATACATCAAAGAAAGCGGTCAATGGCTGTGACGCCAGGGAAGAACTGGACGCGCCATTGGGTAAGCGTCGAATCACCTCTTTTATTCCACTCCCGGAAGATGTGTTCCCAATCTCGCCCTCTCTTGCGCAGCGACGGGTCCCCTCTCTGTACATTATGGTGCTATGCACCATAATGTTGCGGACAGCAAGATTGAAGTGGTGAAGCCAATGACCTTTCACAATGCATGCCCTACCCGCAGATTTAAGTGCGCGCCTTCGCCCTCAGTCGTGGCGATCGTTTGCCTTTTGGAAATTAAGTGCCATCCTATGGCTGGAGTGACACTTCGATGATCGACTGAGTGTGGATCTGATTCGTGTTGTATAAATTTATTATTATCTTATATTTATTATTTACACCTTATTTGGCAATTATCTCTGTTATGAGACATGTTTTGTATCAATATAAACACTTTTTGTCCATGCCTCGTGACGGCAAACAAAAAATTATGCCTGGGCTGATTTACGACTAACATCCCGCTAATCATTAGGAGGCGCAAATTCAACATATCCGCTGTTCCTTTTTTCTGGTACAACTGCTAGTTATTACGTGTAGTTCTTCTATCGTTCCATTGCATTTTCTGTGTGGTGCTGATTGTGCACCCCTTTGAGTGTATAGAAATAAATAAATTTTGCCTCATTCAGCAGCGGCGACTGAAGCGAGCTGAGTACCGTTCGCTGACTCGAGCTGAACGGGAGAATAGCGACATGTGCCGGTTTCTTCTGCGAATGGTGAGGTTAACATTGTGCAAAATTAACAATATTTGCTTTTTTTGGCTCTGTAGTATGAAGGTTATGCAACTTCGAGCAGCAGGTACCATAATCAACGGAAGTATTTGTATTTCAGGGTCGTTCCGTCTGAATCGGTCATGTTGTCATCGCTATGGTCGTAGAACAGTTGAGTCGAGTGGATCGCGCAACTCTTCCCCTTTGTGTCATTTTGCGAGCTGTTCCAGTTTTCACCACCCATCCCATCACATTCCTCTTGAGATGTACTGTACCGCTATGAGTGATAAAGCCGAGATATTGCCTATGTGAGATCTAGTTATTTAGATACGAGTTTGTCCATGTCTAACATAAAACCATGTGAATATGAGATCTCTTCAAAAAGCTTTATCGATAAAGTTCTCGGTGTTACTTGATCGCTCCGTAGGTACGTTGTAGGATCATGGCAAACAATTTTATTCTCACTCGTTTTCCTTCTTGCCGAACAAACTGGTTCACTAACACGAGAGCCTCCTCTCTCTGTAAAAACGTGATTACTGTTGCCAGAACGAATAACTGCGCCGCGATGCACCCTCCGACTACATGTACAGGGTGGCTGAAAAGTATAGGACGCGACTTGACCGCTTGCTGGCACTGAGCCGAGTATTTTCAGAGTGTTTCAAAACTCTTCGAAAGCTTTGAAACTATGTAAGAAGCACCATAAGTTGTTTGGTCCAAAGTTCATCTGAACTCTCGCTATGAAGTTTTTTTCGCATCGACCCATAATCAAGTGACTGCCTAAGGACGGTCTCCAAATTTGCGACTTCGCAGAGCGCTCCGATTTGCCCTCTCCTACTTTTCGAAACGTCGTCGGTGTTCTCAAGTTTGAGTCACCTCTACGAGATCGCAACAAGTGGAAGGTCGAGACTATGCACACTCGGAGGATTAGGGCAATCACCTAGAATCACCAACAGCCACTCACAACGATGGAGCCAGCGTGAGTCACATCGCTTTTGATCTCAGGATCTGCCGTCAATCCTACCAATAGATCTCGGAAGCAACCCTATTCCTGAAGAGTTATAGACGGTTGCTTCCTGAGCTTCTGATTGATTCGGATTGCTGCAATAAGAATATGATGGTTCTTACTGTAGCAATCAGAAATAAATCGACCAATAAAGTGCATGAAGTTTTTGCGCAAGCTCGAGGCACGCCGCATCTCTCCCGCAATTTGAGCTGATGAAAAATTCGAACTAAACTTCTTCGCGACTTTCACAGCCAGACGTAGTTGTTGCCGAAAAGTAAGAGAAAGTTTCCGAATATCGTTTTAGATCAATGACAGATTCTCCCACAACTATGCGAGTTGGAAAGGTTAGGCATCCAAAAGGGACGCTAATGGTGTTTCATCATCAGGAAGAGTTGGAATTGTACTCTACTATGCTTTGCAAAGGCTATCGTCGAGCGCACGTGTATGTCGTTTTGCCAATTCACAGTAGCGTTCTTGCGCAATACTGCTTTGCTCCGCAAATGAGGTTGGGCTCTCCTAAAGGCGCTTCTTCAAACTGTTAATGCGGGTTCTGGACGCGTAACTTCCCACGCACTTTATCAGAAAGCTTTGTGACCTTTTCTCCTTCCAAGGTCGTTAACCTGATGGACTTCTATGTTTGGGTGCCAGAGAGCAAAATCTTAGAAGGCTTCTACAGCACGGTGAGTGCTCCGAAGGCATCTGTGGCGCACTGCTGATGCCGTCGGGGGACTTCAGACGGCCTTTTTCAGAGCCGGATAATCAAACTTAGAGCACCATTTGCCCTCTGTTGTCGCCTGACCCACCGTCAATCTTTCTGTAGTTGGTTTCGCTAAATATAGCTCCTTGCTCCCGACCCTTTATACCGACAAAATATTTCCGCCTATATTTTTTTTGCTCCCTTAACGTCTATGCGACACTATACAATTTGATTATATAGGTGAAAAACATTTGTAATCTGGAATGTTGGGCGGAAATGGAAGAGGCCTAGGTTTTTTTCGTGCGAGCCAGATCAAGAGTAAGACGTAATCTAAAAGTGGAAGATAGGCATATAGGGCGGTGGGGGAGGGAAGAGGTGGGGGCAAAAGGCGGAAATTATTAGGGTGTCCCAAAAGTTTTGAGAAAATTTATTTGGTTTATTCAACACAAAAATACTACAACAAAAAGGTGAGATCAGTAATCGAGATAGTGGCCCTCTTTAGCCACGACGTCCCTCCATCGATTGGGCAGAGCACTGATGCCATTCATCCAGAAAGAAGAAGGGCGTGAAGCGATCCATTCATCCACTGCATGCTTGACCTCCTGACGGTTGTTGAATTTTTTCCCTTTCGTGTAGGCCTCCAGGCTTCTGAAAGCATGGTAATCACAAGGACTAAGATCAGGTGAATATGGAGGGTGGGGTAGCCAGGTGATCCCAAGTCTTTCCAGCTCCTCCGTCGTCGTCCTCGCATGGTGTGGTCGAGCATTGTCCATCACAATTACAAACTTTCCTTGTAGTCGGTGTGAACTGGGGGCTCGAGACACCATCTCTCGCAGTTGCTCACAGAATACTCTTGCCGTCACCGCAGTACCCTCAGGTAAGATCTCGTAGTATATGCAGCCGGTGGAGCAGAAGAAGAATGATATCATCTCCTTTTTGGCGTGGGCACCACGCTTTGGTACGGGTTGAGGCTTCACGTCCACTGGTAGCCACTGCAATTTCCTGTGTGGATTTTCATAAGATATCCACTTTTCATCCTGAGCGATAATGAAGTCCGTCCAGGTCGTCGTTCGTTTACGGTTGAGAAGTTTCTGGCAGACATCGACTCGCACTCGACGCTCGTGTTCAGTAAGGGAGTGGGGATAACTCCAGGGAGCGCTGCACGAAGGCGACTTCGGCGCAGAATCCTGTGGATAGTGGAACGAGAAGTAGCAGTCGTCCTTTCCATTTCCCTCAGGCTTTGAGAAGGATTGCTTCGAGCGGAAGCTAGAACAATGTCGGTTTTTGAGGAGCGTGGGCGTCCTCTACGAGGAGCATCGTCGAGGGAAATCTCCCCTCTAGAGAAGCGAGCGTACCACCTATAGCAGGTGGGAAGGGAGGGCGCACTGCTGCCCATCGACGAACATAGCTCATTTCGGGCTTGAGTGGCGGAGTGACCAGATCGGTAGTAATGAAGCAGAAGGCGCCGGTAGTCGTGTCGGTCGGACATAATTCAAATGATGATAACTCACTTCCAAAGATGAAGTGCAATACCGTTCTATTGTTTTGACGATCTACCAAGAGTGCCCTTTTCCTGCCCTTTTTCCGTGGCTCTGCTTCGGCGCTTTCTTGCGCAACATGGTTGCGAAATTCATGACCAAAATTTTCTCAAAACTTTTGGGACACCCTAATATTACACTTTGCTAGAATTCGGAATCCAACTAATTCGTCAATTTTGAAGATGCCAGTAGCTTGATTGTAATTAAAAAAAATTCCAAAATAGCCTCCTATCGGCCAAGAACCAGAAAGGTCTCATGCTATACGAAGTTATTACGTCCACTTAAAGGAATCTTCCACGGAAAAAGCTCCGCCTCCATTACCACAGAAAAACGATACCTTAGGCCCCTAGCCTCATGAGCATAGCAAAAAGAACGGAACATAAGCGTTAGTTTCGATAATACTAATCCTACACACAAGACAAAATGATCACTCTTTCCGTGGAAGATTCCTTTAAGGTATCGTTTTCTGTGGTAATGAGGGCGGAGCTTTTTCCGTGGAAGATTCCTTTAAGGGAAATTCGGAATCATTACGCGGTAGCAGCAAATGTATGATATTTGTTGTTTATTGAGCGCTGCTATTCTAGAAAATCACCCAGGTGATTTAGAAAATTACCACCATGATAGCAGCTTCGCACTGAAGACTTTCGCTAGCGTCCGCCTTGGGACGGTAAGGTGAGTCATTTCCTGGGGATACTTTTTGATGCTCGCTTCTGCTTGTAAGAAAGCATTAAGGAATTCTCTCTCATAAAACTTCCACCAACGATGGTACGGTGTGGCGAAAAGTTTGGTAATGTGCGTCTTGGGCGGAATGACTCTTTTGTACCTCCCCTCCCGCCCCCGCTATGCGGGTAGCGCGGCAGTAGGATAGACGTCACAGTAGACCTTGGGAATGGAAATAGCCAGCCAGCTGGTGGAGGCTTCGATCACCATTCTGTTCGGGATCATTCTACAACAACTTGTAAGGCCATATGTGAATCCGAGGTTTCGTTCTAATTTGTATGTTTGTCGGCATAGTAGAGCACGTCTTTATCTTCCAGTAGGAAGAATCCACAAATGAGCAATTAGTAAATGGATAAATGGGCAGGGACAAGTAATGGGGGATCCGAGGTCTGTAGTGAAATCAATTTGATTTGAGATGTCTTCACATTATATTTTTGGTCTCTGAAGAAAACGATAAAGTCTCATATCACCACAAAGATGGCGTGATTGTCGACCTTCGAGCCGACAGGCGTTGTAAAAGTCCCAGCCAGACACGCACGATAGGAAGATCCGAGAGCAAACAATATTCCATGATTAAAAAGTATTCACCCAGTTTCACTATTTCAAATTTTTATTGGTCGGTTCTTCGAATAAGGAATTAACAAAAAGTCTGACGGAGTGAGCCTTTTGTTTAAATGATGCTAGTGACGAGCCGTGAAGGTAGCATTTGGTTCATCGTTGCATCTTGGTGATTTGTCCATACATTATTGCATTTGCTAGCGACCAAACATTCCTCCGAAGGGGTAGCCCCATCCACCACCCCATCCACCAAATCCACCACCACCACCACAGCAACCACAGCATCCACCCATTCCACCCATTCCACCCCAAGGTCCACCCCAACCCCATTGGCGTTTCACTCGCAGTGATCTGAAAATAATTCAGTGATGCTTGACCACATCTTCGATGGTTTTCGCCGAGTCTTCCGATTAGTTCAGGTTACCTCTGATACGATCGTGGGAAGATCCCTGCTCAGCGTAAATAGTCCTTAGCTTAGGCCTAGGCTGAGCAAGGGGCTTTCTCTACGCCAGCGCTAACCCAGTGTCTTCATCGCAGTAAATTCGGTGAGACTGAACCTAAGCGGAAGCTTGGGCGTCTCTTGCGATCACAAATTTTTCCAAAACTTCTTACCTTTCGGAGGGCTCTTCAGAGTCCAGTGGTGACGATACAGCAAATATGGCGCTCACAATCGCTAACAGGACGATTACGCATAATAAACGCATGATTCTAGAAAGCATGGAGGTGAAACCAGGTCTATTAGTAACAAAAAAGCGGTTCTCCTCAAGCAAATGGAGATAATGCTAAGATAGTTAAACACTCGATGCTCAGAAAATATAAGGCATAGAATATATCGAATCAGAATTCTCTGAGAGGCAATTGATCAGTTTCGGTACGGTAATTTATGTATGGTCTCCTAATTAAAGCTGATATAAAAACCCTAATTCAATTTTTACATTGGCTTTTTTACCCTCACGAAGTCATTTGGTAAATTTGATTCTGAATTTGATTCTTTGAATCACAAACTAGACGAAGTTGGCTATTCTCAAGCGGAGTGAGTCATTCGTTCTACCTTCAGGAGACCGAAAAAGTGACGCCTCTCCTCCATAATTTAAAACGAGCGAACATATCACGGTTTGCTGAACTCGTACCGAGTAGTTCAATTGGAAATTGACGAAGACATTCGACTCCATTGAACGACTTCGTGAAAGCCTCCTACACAGGCGGCAATTTCCTTTGAGAAGTCTATCACGTGAGCATGATGTAGTTCGATCTTAGCGAGCTCCTCGACGGATCGTGAATCATTCAGACGTTACCGAAATACTGGTTGGCACAGGTTTTGGGGTTCCGAACTACAGTCTCTGAAATCTGTTCAGCAATGAATCCATGAGAAAACCTGGGCTTAGGCCAGCAATCATGTCATTTTACTTGAAGCTTTCGCGATGACGGCATACTTATATCTGAAGACGGATTATAGTGAATAAGAGCTTGCTTTTGCCTATAGAACATTCTAAGAATGTGTTTAGTGAGACGTCCATTCCATCATCGGCAGCACTCTGTGCAACTCTATCTGCGTAGAAAGTTTGCTGATGTACGCCATGAGGAAAAAATTTTGATGTCCCTATACGCGTGTTTCAGTGTGTAGGTCTTGCTACGGAACAGGACACGAGGTTGTCACTGACCTTTATCTGGATGAACACCGCCTCCTGGTTGGGCAGGGATAAAAGTGAGGTTCCTACTCATTTACTGCGTTTGGGCAAAACAATAAACACATGAGATCACATAGTACCACAGATTCGGTCTTCATTGTAAACTATCGCTATCGTTCTCCAACTATAGTCCCTCTCCCCCCCCTCCGATTCGTGCAGCTTTCCCTAACCGTAACTGCAACTGCTCATACATGAATTGTATCAAAAGAAGGCTGCCAATCATGTGAGTTGCCTAACAAACCTAGGCCGATTTATTAACACTACTCATGGTGTTTGTAGTGCAAGGCTCCAGCGTTTTTGCTTTGAACAGGCGTACTTCTCGCACTTTTAAAATTATGAATACCATCAAAATTGGGCTGGTCACTTATGAATCATATTATGAAACATCACCGACCTGGTATTCGGATGTTTTCGCTATCCATGTTTCAGCAAAGCGAAACAATTTGGTTCTCGTGTTTGCATCGTTCTATTATCTACAAAGTACTTTTTTCAATAAAAACTACCCCCCACCCCGACGATTGTCCTGTGACTGGTCAACTTAAAATTACTATGGGTGAATATTCCCCACAATCGCTCCTTATGTTCTTAATTATGTCACAATCTCAGTTGAATAAAAATCTGCCTCTGTGGGTAGTTTGACATCTAAGAATACATATTCATCACGAAAAAATTTGGCACCTGCCGTATCGTGGGCCATTATTCAAAAGGCGCCTTGAACATGCAACTACTGGCAATCATCTACGAAAGCTTTGATTTGTTTGCTAACTGCCGTTTCAATGAATAACTGCCGTTTCGAACCCCTTCATCACCTGTCGTCCCACCTGTCATCGAATTGCTCGAGCGGGCGCCAGCAACGTCTCCATTCGTCCCTGTCGCGTGCTAGAGTGGTCCAGTGGATCCTCCTCGCTCGAGGGACACGAAGCCGTTCATTCCTTTCGTTCAGAGGTCGTCCAGGTGTTCGTTTGACGTCCCGAGGGATCCAGTCGGTAACCGCTCTGGTCCAACGGTCATCGCAAAATCGCATGACGTGTCCGGCCCACCTTATCTTCGATTCCTTGGCAGCGTCCCTGATCTTCGATCGTTGGCGTAGTTCGGAACTGCGGATTTCCCTCTGCACTCCAAGCATCGTCCTCTCCAGCGCGTTGGCTTTAAGACAGCGGTTAACAAACAAAACAAGTCAAAATTCATTGCTAAAGCTTTCAGCCTCGCGGTCATTGCCGATCGGCTAACCGGCTCAACACGTTAGACGTGTGAGTGCTGAAAGCTATGGTACGTATACCATGAAAAGCTGAGTTGGAATGAAATGGTGCCCCGGTAGCGTAACTGGTAGCGCACTTGCCCGGAAAGCGAGAGGTGCGGGTTCTAGTCCCGCCTGGGGCGAAAGTTTTGTTCACAACCCAGCATTCTTGTGAAGCGTCCGAAACTCTTGCGCCCCACAAACGCCTCCATGTGAGGCCAGGCAGTTATGTGCACTATTACTAAAAGTCCGTCAAGCCCAACATTCCTTTTCAAACGGCTTACAAAGGCAATTCAGCGAACGGTGAAGAAGGCAAGAACACCTTCATAACTCCTTCAAAGAAGAGTTTCTCAGGTTGAAGGGATGAATCTGAGATCAGCTTTTCAATATCAATGAAGCGGTGCATACTTCACTGCAAACGGCCGGGTTGACGTAATGACCTTTCTGTTAAGATGGGGTCCATAGCCTTCGAATTGCGTGATAGGCGGACAATTCTCACTGAAGGAAATGTCTTCCAAACATGGAAATGAGCAAATCATTCTATCGCCCAGTTACAAAAACAACCGAGGTGGGGGGGGAAACGGGTACCCCCAGGAGGCCCGTCGCGCGGCAAGAAGTCAGCGGACGAGTCGCGCGTACTATAGGGATTTCGCGTCAAGTTAAATAGAGTGTCCCATTGCACGTCCTACATCGCACATCACGCGCTGCAACTCGTCCGCCGACT